TATATATATAAAATCTCCATGGGATGGGGATGAATACATATCCATCCATGGACCATACTACATAAAAGAACAAAGAGAATTTATGATTATTCACATGCAAAAGAATGAAATTAGACCCTTGTCCTACAGCATGCACAAAAATCAACTCAAAATGGATTAAAGACTTAGACATAAGACCTAAAAGTGTAAAACCCCTAAAAAAAACATAGAGGGAAAGTCTTATGATAATTGGTCTTTACAGTGGTTTCGTAGATATGATGCGAAAAGCATAAGCAACAAAAACAAGCAGGACTATGTCAAACTAAAAAGCTTCTGCATAGGTAAAGAAACAATAGACTAAAAAGGCAACATATAGAAGAGGAGAAAATATTGGCAAACCATAAATCTGATGAGAAGTTAATCTCCAAAATATATAAGGAACTCCTACAACTCCATAGTAAAACAATTAATAACCTGACTAAAAAATGGGCTAAAGGCTTAAATAGACATTTTGCCAAAGAAGACATACAAATGGCCAACGGGCATATAAAAAAGTGTTAAAGGTTATTAATCATCAGAAAAATGCAAATCAAAACTACAATGAGATACCATCTCACACCTGTAAAAATGGCTACTATCAAGAAACACAAAAGACAGTGAGTGTTAGCCACAATGTGGACAAACTGAAATCCTTGCACAGTGTAGAACTATCATGGTTCAATAATCTCAGTTCTGGGCATTTATACAAAAGAACTGAAATCAGGATCTCAGAGAGATATAAGCACTTCTATGTTCGTGTAAGCACTATTCATAATAGGCAAGATATGGAAGCAACCTAAATGTCCATCAGTGGGTGCTGTATAGGTATAATGGGATGATATTCAGCTTTAAAAAGAAGGAACTTCTGTAATATGCGACAATATGGATAATCCTTGAAGGTATCAAGTGAAATAAGCCACAGAAAGACAAATAATGCATGATTCTACTTGTCTGAGGTATCTTGACTAAATTGCTATCAATGTTTCTATAAGATTTAAATTCATTTTTATTTTTTATTTTTATTTTTTAAATTTGAATTAAGTTTTAATATACTGTCTAAAACAGGAAGAAATACAGAATTCCTTTAAAAATATCTCACCACATATAAAACAAAAGAACCCAGTAACTGTGAGGAGATGAATATGTAAATTAGCTTAGCTATAGTCATCATTCACTATGTATATATATGGCAAAATATCATGTTATATACCTGAAAATATATATAATTTTTTATTAAAACACAAAAACATATTTATTATTTAAATACTCCTGCAAATTTTTATTTTTGAGATAATTTTGGATTTCCAGAGTTGTTGCAAAGTTAGAACAGAGTTCTGTATACCCTTCACTCAAGCTCCCTATGTTAATATCTCACATAGTCATAGACTATCAAAACTAAGAAATTAATATTGTACTATACCATTAAATAAAGTAGATAATGTTAGGATTAGTTTTTCCACTAATATCCTTTGTTCTTTCAGGACCCAGTCTAGAATTCCACATTTCATGTCACTGTCATGTAGTCTCCTCCAATCTATGACAGTTTCTCAGTCTTTCATTTTTGACTGTGACACTTTTGAAGAGTACTGGTCAGTTATTTTGTACAGTGTCCCTCAATTTGGGTTTGTCTTATGTTTTCTCATAATTGGACTGAAGTTCTGCACTATTGAGTAGGATACTATGGAGGCGATATGCCCTTCTCAGTGCATTATAACAGGGAGTATATTAAATTGATATCTATTACTTGATGTTAACCTTGATGCATTGGTCAAAGTGATGACTGCCACTACCTACAGTTGATTCTTCGCTGTAAAGTCACTAAAGATTTAGAGAGACATATTTTAACACAATGCAGTATCCTGTTTCTTTTTAGACTTGTGCCCACTAATTTTAGCATCTATTGATATATCTTGCCTGTGGCAATTATTACTGCTGTGGTTGAATGGTGATTTTCC